CCATTTTTAATGCTGCCACCAAAATTTGATGCACCCCCAAATTGTCAACAAAGGCTCATTAACAAGCCTAATATTCGGTGTTATCTATGTATAGCTATCATATTTAATTTGGTGCTGTGAAAATATTTATAACCTTAATAAAACTGCACTTAGTGATGTTAACGTGGAATTAGAACAATCAACTCATATCATGGTTTAGCTACATGTATAGGACTATTCAATTTCTTCTGACTTAACAACAAAGTTAGGTAAGTTGTCAATCGTAATGTTCTCTCAAAAATCAAACTTAGTGACTGATTTTTTTTTTAATCATATTTAATTTTAAAAAAGTTGGTATAGTTAACTGCTAGTGAAATTTAATTTTGTATTAAATAATATTTAAAATAAAATGATTAAAATCAATTTGATGTAAAAGTAGGAAATAAACAAGTTATTGGAAGTGATATATATGTAGTTAAACTATGTGAATTAATGAATAGTGAATTATAATTAATGTGATGTGTAAAGATGATTAATTGATATTATTTAATTATAATGATAACATTGAAAATAGTGATGTTGAATTAAAAATATATTAGATTTTGAGTTGAGAATCAATTGTTTCTAAGTAAATTGATAACCAAGGAAGCCTCCAGCCAGAAAATTTGAACAAAAAATAACTATTTTTATTATTCACCAAACAAGTGGAATAACAAACGGGTACGGAGAATATACCATTTCATTTTTTTATTTTTTTTTTGGGCATAGGTGGGGGGGAAAATTGCTCCAGTATACTTAACTATTTTTCAATTTAAATGACAACAACAATGAAAAATGAAAGAAAAATACGAAATCAAACACCCTCCCCCAAAAGACTCATATCATGTCCATTTTTTTTTTTTTTTACATCGATATATCCCTCATTTGAGAAGCTCCATTATCCATGAATTGTAAGCACAACACACTTTGTTAAACCCTTTAAAGCCAGCCCCTTTAGCCAGGGTCTGAAATTCCTTTTCCGTCCTTTCTTTGCCGCCCGGGTTATGGGCCAACATTATCACATCAATATGGACCACATTCTTCGTGGCAAGCCCGGTATCCGGAGCCTCCGGCAGAATGCACTCGGCTAGGATTACTTTCCCTTTTTCTGGAAGGGCTTCGTAGCAATTTTTCAAGAACTTCAGGCAATGCTCGTCACTCCAATCGTGGCAAATCCACTAAAAAAAATGACATATGTGGTTTAGCAAACTTACTTTAGATAAATTATGTTGTAGTCACATAAATTTTGGCATAATACTGTCACTATCTGATTACTTTACGCATCACATTACTTTTAAAATAAGAAACTACTAAATTCATAAAAAAAATCATTATTATTTGTCATTCTTTAATGTCAATTCATCATGTCAAATTAGTTTAATTTCTTTGTAGATAAAGCTCACCTTCATGAAAATAGCATCTCCTTTAGGTACACTCACAAACATGTCACCACCAACATGCTTAATGCCTGCAAAAAAAAAAATATCCCCACTTATTGATTTCAATTGAAAGAATTCAACCATAGAAATGATGAATAGAACTGAAAAGAGATAAAAATGAATGTCCACCAATAGTGTAGTCCAACTAAGAATGCATCCACATTTTAATCAATACAAAGATGAAAGAGTGTATATATTCCTCTTTGACTTTGCTAATTGGCATAATTTTTCCTCACTTTAACTACACCTATTCTAGGGTTAATATAAAAAACACAGTACGGAATCTGATATTAATGAAAAAATTCATATGGTGCATGAACCTTAAGACAAAGGGAAATTTCAAAAAGTAATTATAGTGTGAAAAATTGTCAACTTAATCAAAATATTTTCATAATTTTGACAATTAATAACTTGAGGTCAATTAGATGGAAATTCGAATTTCCATTCTAGTGTCCCATTTAATAATTCCCTTTCTATTTTTAAACATGATGACAATTTTGACCAAAAATTGAATTTTCAGACAATTTTTTCTAAGATAAAACATACCAAGCTACTAAATTCTGATGAAACTACTTTTGAAACACTCATCGAAAACAAGATTGAATATTTTTAAAAACTTATCTTAACCAATAATTCAAAAAATAAAAATAAAAGAATAACCTGGATAAGATGGGGCATCATCAACAACATGTGGCAAATCAAAATTGATGCCCTTAATGGATGGGTATTTGGACACTATCATATCCAGGGTGGCACCTGTCCCTCCACCAACATCCACAACAGTCTCAAGCCCCACAAAACCATCATATATTTCCAGAATTTTCTTCATTACTATAGTGGAGTGATTTGACATTCCTTGGTTAAACACTTTGTTGAATCTTAAATCTGTGCCATGGTATTCAAATGCAGTCATCCCATATGCTTTGTTGAAGGGAATTCCACCTTCTAAGACTGCATCTTTCAAATGGTACCTATGATTTAAGTCACGGTTCAGATTAGACGATTTTTTGTGTGAGATACAACGTAATCGTTAAGCGAATAGATGAAATGCATGTCTATACTATCAAATGTTGTAGCCGAACACATGATTTATACCGATTAAGCGAATATGAAGAAAAGCTATAAGCAGTTGAGCACTGTATATTTTGACTTTCTTTGACAATAAGTTGATAACTAATTTTATTAGCTAGTTTGAGTGCAAAATTGAAAATGCAATTTGTCAAATAAAAATGAATCAAACCTCTCAACTAATCCACTAATACACAAAAAAGTCACACAAGGATTGGAACAAGTGTACCATACGTTAGTTCACCAACTTTAAGAATACTTGTCCAAATATGGTACCACCACCATTAGATTAAATAATTTTTGTACCTAATTTGTGAAGGATTTTACAATCATGGAATATAGCGTGTGATCAAACACTTTCATTATTTGGTGACCACAGCAAATTGTTGGGAGGTGTAGAGTAGGTAAGACTTTGGGAATTGATTAAATGAATTTCTTAAACGGGTTCATATGTTATATTATTTCATACAAAAAATAATAAATGTCATATTTTTATTTATAACATTTATTTAAATATTTATAACATTTATAAGAGTATAACTTATCAATCATATTTTTGTTTTAAATGAAGATTTATACAATTAAAGTATCCGATCCTTTATTTGATTAGAGTTCTTATAAAAGTCTAAGTATTTTTTAAAAAATATTATTAATAGCGGAAATGTGATTAATAGCAGTATTACTATATTGTATAAAGATTGTGTAATAAAATAAAGATTTTTTAGTCCATTATTTTACAAATTAGTTCTTATCGTCACCAAAAGTGGGCTCAGATTAGTTCTCAAACTGTTATAGTTTACTTTAAACGGCCATCTAATAAGTTTTTTTTATATATATATATAAATAAAAGCAAATAAATCAACGATAAACAAATAATTCAATAATGTTAGAAAAAAAGAAAAAAGAAAAAATTGGGGAAATGGAAAAGTCAGCTAGGAATGTTTTTGGCGTGCAATGACGTGTGTACGCTCACGTAGTGCACTTTCCAGAATATGAATAAACATTTTAAAATTTCAAATAACCCTCTTTTATCTTTCTTTCCACGGATTAAAATCATCCAAACACATGATATCACTTTAATAAAGTTGTTCAAATCCATGGCCGTGTGAGAGAAGAACTCATGAGTAAAGTACGAAATTACAGCATATTATGATCCAAAAAATAAACAAATTTGACTCCGCGTTGCTTAATTCTAAAAACAAATGTAAATCGAGACCCTAATTAACAAATTCTTCTTCTTATCTAACAATTTTTTTTAAGAAAAAAAATATATTTTTCATACTATCTAACGAGAAGTTTGGACCACTGGCTGGTCATGAGAGTGTGACACACCTTTTCAACTATCTAATTATTATTTTTTTACAATCCACGCTTAATCAACCTAATTATATTATTAAATTTCGATATTACTGCGTGTTAGTAAAATGGTGCTTTTTTAAAAATTATATCTTTTTTTTTTATTATTTTGTATGAATAATGAAATAATCGAGTAGAATATATTTGCAAACATATTAAATGAGCACGAGCTCAAACAAGAGTTACACTAATAGCACAATTTAATAATTAATATACACAACAAATTTTAGAAAATTCATCAATCAGTAAAGACAACCTCACTAATTATTCTTAAAAAAATATTTTAGTTATCATTTTTTGATATTTTTTATTCATAATGTATTTCCACCTATAGTTTATTTTCCCTCTAACAACCAATAATTAAACAAGGTCGAATCTCATTTGTTCGCGAACATTTTATATATTTATTTTATTATTTTTTATGAATAATGAAATAATCGAGAATATATTCGCACACAATTTAAATGAGCACGAATAGCACAATTTAATAATTAATGCACACCACAAACTCCAGAAAATTCATTGGTCAGCAAAGACAACGAAACCTCACTCATGAAAAAAAAAAAAATGTAAACACTGTGTAATTAGTAAAAGGGGTAAAATCAAAATTACCAGCTCTCCATGAGAACCTTATCCTGATTCATGAGAAGGAGCGCCGCCATGGAGACGCCGTCCTCGTTCCTCGTCAGGAACTTGCAAACCGGCGCCAGCCCATACAGCCGCTCGGTGCCGCCGTCGGGGAGCGGCCTCAGGCGGCAGTTCAGAACGGAGTAGGTCGCGAGCAGCCGGAGGATCCGGTCGAGCATGACGTTCGCCTCCGGGTTGGCGGTGGGGAGCTGGGCGGCGAGATCCGCCGGCGAGACCCACGCGCCGTCGCCGGCCCGGCGGATCAGCTCGAGCAGGTCGAGCTCGATGGCGGACTTGAGGACCATCGGGAGTACGGAGGCGCTCGCCAGCTGCATGGCGAACAGGAAGGCCTCCTCCTCGCCGGAGGATGGATCTGCCATTGTTGAGCCGCCGATGTTTTTCGCCGTCGACCCCATTTTTTTTCTCTCTCTCTCTCTCTTTTGCTGGTTTTCTGTTTTTTGTTGTTTTTTCGTTTTTTTATTTGTGTGGTGGACCGGTGGTGGTGTGGGAAGTGTGAGTGGGGTTGGAGGGGTTTATATGGTGCTTGCGGGCTCACCAACTACTTACTGTAGTCGTTTGTGGGGCCCACGGTTGGTCAAATCATTTTGGTTGGGCGTATGACCCAGTGAGGCAGGTAAAAACACGTACCTTTAAACCTCTTTTGATTGCTTGGTCTGACGGGTATAGTTTATTTATTTATTTATGTAATAGTTTTATTTATTTATTTGTTTGAAGTTTGAATTAAAAAACACGTACCTTTATTTATTTATCTGTGCATGGGGTAGCAGGTAGCAAGTTGTACAATAACTCTAAATAGAAGTGTGAATTAAGTTCACATATTAATTAATAATATTTTATGATTTTATGTAATGTTCTGTAAATTTATGTATTAGTGCTTTGTGAATATTGGAGTAATTCATGTTAGATTTTATTCTTATTCACTTCTATAAATTTTGGACTAATTTAGATTATAAACACGCTTTAAAATATATTAATTTTTATATATATTTAATTTATCAAATTGACCATCATTTGACGGCTTTTTATTTGGCATTGTTATTAAATACATTAAGTTATTATCTATCAATGGTAATTGAAAATTATTAATTAATCTATGAAGCATGTTTAACTATATGAATTGAAAAAGTAGCAGTTAACGAAAAATAATATAGAATGAACGAGTCTTATAATAAATGACATGACTGAACTGAATGTATACTTTCTTCTAGTGCTACATTATTTGTGTAAAATGAGGTGGAATACTAAGATGCCACGCTTGCTTAGTAACTACTATGCGTAATGTATAATGTGAGATAAATAGTTTCATTTTTCCTTAGTCATGTGCTATCATACCAAGTTGTAGAAATTAAATCCCTGTAATTAATTAATATTAAATTTTTGGCAAAATTACATTTTATGCCCTGTAACAGGGGTGTGTGGCAAATGTGGACAACTTCTTTGGTTTGGCAAAAACACCCTGAAACTTGTTAAAAACCGAAATCCGTGCCCAATTTGGCACAAATTTCGAATTTTAACAAGTTACTGTCTTATTTATCCACACGAAAAACCCGATCAAATCCGGAAACTTGTAGGTAAATTGGGCACAAATTTCGAGTTTTAACAAGTTTCAGGGCACTTTTATCAAACCAGAAAGAACTGTCCACATTTGCCACACAGGCATAGTTACATGGCACAAAATGCAATTTTGCCTAAATTTTTTAATAAATTCAATGTTTATTAGTACATTAAATATTAATATCTTATGAAATCATAGTTTATTCATCCATTGGTGAGGGGTGACTAGGGTTGCAAACGAGCTGAGCCGAGCATTGGTCTTATCGAGCAAGATTTTTTTTTTTTTGTTTTAGCTGCGTGAGCTCGAGCTCGTCGAGCTCGATTTAGGAGGCTTGAGCTTGACTCGATAAAAAAGTACAATCGAGCTCGAATCGAAATCAAAATGCTCAAGCTCGGCTCGAAATTTTTTAGTGAAAAAATAAAATTACCATTAAGCACATATGCCCTACTATTGTAGTATATATATAAGTAATTCAACATATATCTAGAGCCACTCGACATGCAAATATATATAGACTCGAGCTCGACTCGAGTTCGGTTAAACTCAAGCTCGAGTCGAGCTTTGACACGAGCCACTCAGTTCATTTGCAACCTTAATGATCATCCATTCTCATTACGCAACCCACAAACTTAAGAAAATATTTTCAAATAATAAATGATTAATTAAAAATTATAAGTAAAGTAGAGTCTAATCTTTGACTAGTTTTATCTTGACCCCACCTAATTTCAAGACCTTTTCTTTTTTTCTTCTGCTTATTTATTTTTTTCCTTGAATAAACTTTTGAAGAATAAAACTTGAAATCGCGGTTGGTGGATGGTTTGTGAATCAAATAATCTATTTTCCACTAGTTTTTTTTTTATTTATATATTTATTTTTATATATATATATATATATNCATGAACCGTTAGGGTAAGCTTGTAAGTGAATTAAGTTTAATATTAATCTGATAACCCGTTTATCAATATAAATCAGATATCAATATACATGTATATATATATATACATGTATATATATATATTTTTTTTATATTGAAAAAAATTGCAGCTTTACATATTTTTGTTCATTATATAATACGTGTTATCGTATGATGTCATTATCTATATATATATAATAAGAATTAACATTTTTCAAAAATAGTAAGCAAAAAAATAGGGAACATTAATTGCATTCCATTTTTGGTATGTTTTTTAAATTTTTTTAATAAAAAATCAAGTAGCATTTAATGCTAGCATAAATCATGGGATTTGTTATATAGATGCATATTTAAATTTCAAACTTCAAACAAAACATGCCTAAATGTATTTTGAATTTTTTAGGGGAAAAATTTAACAAACACGTTGAAGATTTAATACAATACATATATTTATATATATTATCTCAACATATAGGTTAATTAGTTTCATATCTAAACAATATATATTTAAACAATATATAAACAAATATAATAATTTGTCGTACAATACAAAAAAAATATATAAACAATATATTTATATACAAATATAATAACAATACAAACAATATATAAACAAACATAATAACTTGTCACGCGTATATTTCGTACAATACATATATTTATATATATTTTCTTAACATATAAGTTAATTAGTTTCATATTTAAACAATATATATTTTAGAAACTTAAAGATTCATAACACTACAACTGGTAACTTTTTTAAAATTATTTGAATAACTGGAGGTTGATTTGTAATTTAAATTTCAAATTCATTCAAACATTTAAAGGAAAGTATCATAAGCAAATTTTTTTGATACATTTCATTTTATCTCAACTTACATATAATCATTTCCGAATTATTTGTTTCTCATAACATCTGACAGAATTACTAATTGCATAGAATTCAATTATGATTTCGAATTTATATCACTGATGTTTAATAATTGCATAGAATTTCAAAGATGTTTATTTATTATAAAAAAAAGAATTTGTAAAAAAATATTTGTGTATATTTTGTAAAATGTTTGTACAAAATGTTTTACTTTAAATTTATTTACATAATTTAAATTAATTACATTTATAAATAATATGAACATTTATTAAATATTTTAATTATATAAAACAAAAGAAGAAGAAGACTACATATTTAACTTGCATAAATAATAATAATGAAATTATATTATAATAAATTTTATAATAAAATAATATAAGTGTTATACGAAGAACAAGATTACGTAAAATTATTATTTTTCTTATATCAAGGAATATATATATATATATAATGAAATCAAATTTATATTATTATAAACATGTGAGCGAGATAATATATTAATTAATTTACGGGCTTGCGCTACCAGACTCAGGTTTAATGTTTCAACAAAAAAAAAAATGACGTTGATGAAAAGATGTAAAAAGATAAATGATCAGACTCTATTATTTTTTAGGCATAAACGGACAAGCCCTATGGTCCACTCATTCAATATCTCCCGTGAATCGCACGAGTTACTTAACGGACAAACTCTGTGGAAATGACTCATTTAATACTTATGTCCCGTGCATCGCACGGGCTACGTACTAGTTATTATTTATAAAAGATATAGAAATATTCTTCTTTTTTATGTAACAATAAATATTTAATGTACGTTAATAATATTTCGTAATATAACTAATTTAATTGAGAATTACCAAGAAATCAATCTCTAATATAATCA